TGTAACATATAACATACAGATGACATGTAGGTAAACATCATGTGATACGTTGTAAGCAATCATTGTTCAATGACTTGTTCTCTAACAATCATCCACATATGAGCATCAAAACCATTCACCAAGTGTGGGGAAGTATGAACTAAATGAGGAGACTTTGGCATGGGGAGTCATCATCAAATAGATAAGTCAATTCTACTTTTAATTCATTCCAATTCCATTTAGTGAAATTTTACCTTTGTGATTGTTTACTTTGATATCTTGTGATTGTTATGGACTACTTGTTTGATCTTGAATTTATCTCTATTTCTACTTTGATCATGCTTTAATAGTCCTCTTTGGAGAGAAATATCAGTGTAAATTATGTTTATGGAGATGTGACTTTGAATTGATTGATTAGAAGTTATGAGACTTAGCTTGGATGATGTTGATCAACATGACCTTTGAGTGAAGGGGTTGGTTAATCTTACTTCACCTTTGAGAAAAGGGGAGTATGAGATGTCAAGAGCAATGTGTTTGATGAAATGTGTCGTAGACACTCATGAGTTATCAGAATGTTCTTGTGTGCTCTAAGAGTGTGGAATGACCTTGAGAAAGGTCTCCTCCTAGTTAAATAGCGAGCATCCATTATCAAGTCAATTGAATTTCACTCTTGAGTCTTGATCCTGATTTGGTTACGTTGCCTAAACTTAATCCAAGTCCCTATTCACTCTTTAGTCTTGATCGTTAATTGTTTTGTTATTTGCATCATCTCATCTTTGTTGAGGGCTAGATTTCCATAAGAAAATTGTGTACATTGTGCTTGAGATATATAAGCTCTACATCTATCATCATTCCTTTGAAACGACAATACTCACCTTGTAAAAGTACTCTTTATCAATTGGTGTTGTTGCCGGGGATTGGTAATGGTGTTTGAGCTTTTGTTATTTTCTTAACATAAGGGAAATATTTTCTAGGAAAGCCTACCCATTTCTTTGCTTGTTTTTATTTTTGCATTTGATGTTTTGTATTGTCTAACTTGGTTTCTTGCTTGTTTTGCATGCTATCCATTCACAATCACAATATCAACAAGAGAAGCAATATGGAGACCAATGAGGACATTCATCACAAGGAGGATATTAGAATTCTTGATCCTATGGGACTAGTCAATATTATGGCTATGGAGATTACATGCCACAACAAGGATGAGGCTACATCCAATAATCCTTACACAACTCAAATCGCACCTCCTAAAAGTCCTTATGAGTTTCTTTTCCACAAGTATGGAAAAGATTTTTCTCATCCTAATCACTAAAACCACTACAATCTTACCAATATTCTTCTGACTATTCCCAAGATCCTTACTACAATTCATATCATCAACACCACCAAAATGCTCAATAACCTTCATATGATCAATATCCTCATGCCCAACAAGCATCTCCATACTCTACCTACCCTTTGCACCTCCCAAATTCACCACCAACACCCAAGAAAAAATCTATACTCAATTATTACAATACACTTAACCAAATGTATGAAGAAGTCCTTCACTCCAAGTCCACACACCCATATTTCCAAGGATTCAATACCCTCGATATTCTCAAAGACTACAATCCAGTCCAACACCCTTACCCGTCACAAAATTTCTCTCCAAATTCATATCCCTTACCCACTCGATACACACCATAATCCCAAGACACTCAATCCCCATATGAGCATCATAATCATTCACCAAGTATGGGGAAGTATGACCTGAATGAGGAGACTTTGGATGGGCTAGACATTGGGGAGTCACCATATTATGGAATTGAAGATGATGGTCACATTAGACCAAGTGAGGAAGAAAATATCAACAACCAATCGAAACTCAACCCATAACATTACACACATACCATGCATGGAGGAATTTTTTATTATGTGGATGGTTGATAATGATACCTGTCACAAAGCCAAGGAAACCAAGTTGAAGAATATGGAGATGCAATTAGAGCAATTGCAAATAACCTTGACCGAAAGAGCCTCTGATGCACTCCCAAGCACGATCAAGAACAATTTGAAAGAGGGGTGCAAGTGGGGAAGTATGGAAATGATGAGGATGTTTGGGTGATCGATATGCCCGACTTTGTGGATAATGAGGAGCAAGAGGGGTGTGATGAGAAACTTAAGGAAGTGAATGATGAAGGGGCAAAAGGGCATGATAAAGAGGGAAAATGGGAGAGTGAACAAGAAGAAGAATTTGAACAAGGGGAGCTGAGAGTGGGGAATGAGAACTTGAAAAAGAAGTGGTTGAAAAAGAAGAGGAAGTTGAAGAAGAAAAGATATGAGAAGATGATGGTGGTAAGGAAAAGACATGGAATGAGAGTATTGAGGAAGAAATAGAAGAAAAGAATGAAGAGAGTGTGAAGCATAATGTTGACAAGGGAAATGATGAAGTTAGAATTACCTAGTTGGTGTGAATGAGAAAACACATTGTCAACTTGGGAGATTGATAACAAAAGTGATGAAAAGGGTGGTGTGTTACTTGATGTAGGTGAGTGTGAAATGCTTGAAGTTAGGAAGAAAGAGTTGAGCTTAAAGGAGGGATACCAATGAGATATTTTTAATAATATATTTTGTAACATTGATTTTATTGGCAAGTTCTTGGTCCAAGAAGAGTGAAGGATAAGGGTCTTGTTCAGCTTAAAGGAGGGATATCAATGAGATATTTTTAATAATATATTTTGTAACATTAATTTTATTGGTAAGGTTTTGGCCCATGAAGAGTGAAGGAAGAGGGGTCTTATTGGGCTTAATGGAGGGAAGGAGGTAACGGGGCCCAAAAGGTGAAGGGGGCAAATTATGATGTGCATCCGTATGCACCATGCATTGTGCATACGGATGCAAAATGACGTTGTTTTGCATCAAAACGCACGTCCTACTTAAAAAAAAAAAAACAAAAAAAAAAAAACCAGTTTCGATTCCCAGCAACAACATTATGTTGTTCATTTTTTAGTTCATTCATTCTGAATTTTTAGTTATGAAATTATGGATGTGTAGGTATGTAATTCTGGATTTATAGTTATGAAATTATGGATGAGTAATTATGCATGGTGTAGTTATGCAATTCTGAATTTTATAGTTATGAAGTTATGGATGTATAGTTATGCAATTCTGGATGTATAGTTATGAAGTTATGGATGTGTAGTTATGTAATTCTGGACGTATAGTTATGAAATTATGGGTGTGTAGTTATGTAGTTCTGGATGTATAGTTATGAAATTATGGGTGTGTAGTTATGCAATTCTGAATTATTATTTTTTTTTTAAAGTTAGACGTCAAAACGACGTCGTTTTTGCATCCGTATGCACCATGCACGGTGCATACGGATGCACATCATAAAGATTGGTGAATGGGTGAAGGAAGGCATGGCGCCACAAGTCAAGGGAGTGAAAAAGACATGTTAGCTCACAGAAAGTGGGTCATAATCCTCGAAATCCTTGTGCCGGGATAGGTAAAGATAGGTGCAACCATACATATGTTAAAGGTTAGGGGGTGTAGCAAACTGAGTTCGAACCTGCAACCTATGAGATGGCAATACTAGCCCCAACCTACGAAGCTAATTAACATCTTATTTACAAAGGCATTGCAAAATATATATACTCAATTGAAGGGCTGTTGGCAGCAAAGTATGGAGGTCATGACCAGCTACATGCTAGTCAGCGCTTGGCTAGCGGGGAGGCTCCCTAGGTTCCCCGGGGCGTGGCTAGCGGGGCCGAGCACCCCCACCCCTCTTCCACCACACCAGTGGCACCCCCATTGGCGGGAGTGGTGGAAAAGGTACAGTGAGGTGGTGGTAGAGAAGGAGGGGTGGAGTTGTGAAGGCATGGACATGGTGGTGATGGTGAAGAGTGAATACGCATCATACACTTGGCAAGCATGGGAGGGGGTCTTGACGGCCCTCCTGGCCTCATTTTGACATCGCCTATCTTATCATTACAACACTCCTGGTCCAGTGGTGCATGGTCTTGACTTCTAACAAGAATACCAAGATTTGATTCCTAGCAACTACAATATTGTTTCTAGTCCATTACTTGGGCTATAACATTATTTATTTATTATAAACCATAATCAATGATACAATCATTAACTTATAGTATTATAATAATGAACTATGGTCCATAATGTGAATCATGGTTTATGATACAATTTGCCATAACTATTTTGGATGGATTGGTTGGGCCTTTGGGTATACGTTTTTGCACACTATACGTTTATCATTTGTACAAGAAGCTATTCAGTTAAGTTACATCTCAAAGTTAAGCAATAGCTATATCATGAATCACAATGGTATCCTAAACCAATACCTTAATCATTGAACCACAAGTGTTTCTTAAACGATACAATGAATCACAATGGTATCGTATCGTGAACTCAAGCCATTCTTAATGTTTCTCTTTAAATATTTTGGGTCACTACAGTTCATAAAGTTTAAGTACATAAAAACAGTCACTACACTATTATAAGTTCATAAATTTCATAAAGCATCTATTATATGTTCATAAAATCACTATTGCAAATTCATAAAGTTATCATTATATGTTGACAAAATCATCTTCATAAAGTCATTATTGTAGACTCATAAAATTACTACTTTATGCAAATTCATAAAGTCTATATGTATTTAAAATATATAAGTAACAATTGATTATTTGAACCTCCAATATTATTTTAAGTGAAAATCGTAATTTATACCCCTTCATAATAAGTCAATTATTAATGTCACCCCTGAATTATTAGTGGTATAAATATTACCCCTCACTTTTCAAAACAATACATATAGTGTCATCCCGTAGTGTAAATGTTGCACCTTATTTTTTAAAACGGTACATATATTGCTCCTACCGTACGGACAATATATGTACCGTTTTGAAAATTAAAGGACAACATTTACAACAATAATAATTCAGGAGTTATATTGATAATTAGCATATTATAGAGAGACATAAATTACAATTTTCCCTTATTTTAACCTAAATTTTTATAAACTTGTAGTATTAATCTAAGTCCATGATACAACATTAACCTTGGTCCATAATATAATTTACCAAGGTTAAGAGAGACTAAACATTATAGTCTAAAAGCCTTTCAAAACATTAGGTCTAAATTCAAATTTCATCCCCAAAGTATTTAGATCTAACATAATGATTCTTTATGTTATGATGTAGTTGAGCATTGTCTCTTCCGATCTTCCCCATCCCTCTTCACATATACCAGAAAATACAAAATTACATGGTAAAATAAATAAATAAACACTGCTATAATTTGGAGCAGTAAATAATGTAACAAGGTTGCACCTAATTTGGTGTAGAAGTATTAGTAGTACATCCAGGTGAAAGGGCAGAGATTAAGACCAGGCTTCAACATGGTATTTACCAGCCCTTTCCAATGCCCGAAGCCACCTCGCCGCAGCTTCCCTAGAAACCCCGCTTTCTTTTGATACGATTTCCTCAAACGCTGAAAGCACATCGGAAGGCATTTTGCTTGCAGAGCCTGCAACGTAGACTGCAGCCCCCTCGGCCAACAGACTCCACACCTTCATGCTTTGCTCCTTCATCTTGTGTTGCACATAAACCTTCTGAGGTTGGTCCCTGGAGAAGGCAACAAAGAAGCCTCCTCCTTTCTCTTCAGAAAGGACCCCACCGTTCTGTTCATGAGACCGCCAAAAGTTTCTGTACAAGAAGTCGTTTTCTTCATTTCTGCAACCGAAGAAGAAAATGATGGGAGCCGTGGTGCCGGATTTACTCTGCAGAGCTCTTTCCTCCACGAATCCTCGGAAGGGTGCACACCCAGTTCCCGGTCCAACAAGAACGAGAGGAAGTGGTGGTGGTGGGGGAGGAAGAGAACCTTTATGAAACCATGCTGGTATAAGGTCTCCTGCGACACATACAAGCAAATTGGCCTAAAGGATAACATTCAATTTTTTAAATGAATTGGCCCTGTAAGAAATGGCATATCTCTGTTAATATAATACCTTGTTGAGGATCAAGTCCAGCTAACCAAGATGAGCAAAGACCGGTACGCTTCCTTTTATAAGGTGTTGTCCATGACACTATGCTTACAGTCAGATGCACTTGGTTAGGGTGAGCTTGAAGAGAGGAAGAGATGGAAAAGGCCCTTGTTTTTAATGGAGGTACCAATTGAACTAACCATTCAAATGGCATTTGAACGGAAGGGAAATCATCCAATACCTGCATCCAGTGTCCATGCCAACAAGTTTTTTGAAGCAAGACAAGATATGCGAATTTAAAGAACTGGATTTTATTTTTTTTTATTTTTTGAAAGAAAGAAAGAACAAATAAATAATTTTACCTCTAGCACTGTTCTCCTTTCCTTCTGGTTGTACTGATAGAGATCATCTCGTCCTTCTGATGAAGCAAAATACTTGAGCCTCTCCTTCTCATGTTCAGCAGTGGCAAAATAACTCATGATCTAAAGAAATAATATCCCAACATTTGTTATTAATTGAATATGTCTGGGTACGTCACAACATTCAGAAGTGAAAGGAAGAGCCATCAAAACCCAATTCTTGAATGTTTATCAAGGGACATTATTCTCATAACCTTAATTACCTCAAGGAAGATATACAACATACACAAAAGAACCCAGGAAAGCTTCCTGAATTTATTTGATGTTGAATTTATTTGACTGGTAAGATTAGTATTGAACTAGTAAGTAGTAATTAAGAAAGTTCAGAGCTGTAGCAATCCAATCCAATTGCCTGTTTGAGTCTTGTAAGCATAGACAAAGATAACGGATATATGAACACTCAGGTGGAGCCATGGAGGGAAGCAAACAGTAGCAAATACATTTGAATACATCAATTAAGAAATTGAAGAGCAAACTAGGTCAACAAGAACTTGTTCAACAAGTTCAAGAATTTCTTGTTGGAATCTCAAATATGCTTACTGATTTCTCACGGATTCTATATTATTTGGTTCTGTATCTATGCTAATTTCTCTCAGATTATGTATCTATTAGTACCACATGTAATTAGGAAAGATTTTGATTAGGACTGATTTTAGGAATCTGATTGTAATTGAATCTATTTTGCTACTCTCTTCTCTGCTCTGAGAAGAGGCATTTTCCTCTCGTATTAAATGTGAAATATTTAACAGAAAGTTCTTTTATAGCTTTTACTCTTTTAGTTCTTTAATAGAATAATGCAGCTAACCACAAAGGTGTAAAAACCAGCAATGCCCTAACTATTGATCAGCATCATTAAATGCTGGCATTCACAATTATATCATAACAAAAGGTTGATGCTCATATATCAGATTTATTTTCAATAATGCTGTTGAAGTGCTATGAATTTCAAATTAGAAAAACAAACTTCATTCCAACCCTTGGTTTGCAAAGATTTACATAATTATATGTAAACCATTTATTTAACGTGCCAAAAGTAATTTAACATATGGATAAGATATACAACACAAGAGTTTACCTCAAAGAAATAGCGTCTAGGAGAGGCTGATGCAATGTCCATAGTTAACTCCACAAAAGTTCTTAACCGCACAGGGAGCATTACAGTACTTATGGTATTATCAGCAGGTCTTTGGTCTTTATCTCTAGGTTGAACCTGGAAGAAGATTATATAAAAGAGTAAAGATTGAATAATTCATGTTACTAGTCCCTTTGGCAGATGTATTTTAAACATTTAAATTCCTGACCCACCATGCATGAATACTGATAAAATAGCTTTTTATTCAGAAAAGAACAAGTAAAAATAGAAAAACAAAGAAAAGCTAACATAACCTCAAAATGAGAATTGAAATGTATGTTTCAAAAATAGCATGGAACTATGTGATTGCAAAGGAGGGTAAGCTTACTTAATTTACATTAATCCTAGTATATCTCACAATTATTTAAAACATGAAGAGAAGATTGTAAAGGTAATAGCATACTCTGATGTATGAGTCAGGGTTCAAATTGCAACGCTTTATGAAAGCATCCACTGAAGCAACACTTTGCCCAGGTAGAACCTCAAGAACATCACCCACTTCATACTGGATTGACTGCAAACTTATAACAAGAAATTATGAATAAAGCAATGAATGTAAATTATACAATCTACCTTGTTCAGAATATAAAACATGACTTACAGATGAAACAGGTTCGAGTTCAAAATGGCGTACATCTTTCCCACAGCCTACTTCACTTAATGGATCATTTTTTACCTATGTTAAATTTGAAAAATAAATATTATACATCAATAACATCATTAAAGAATGAACATCCAAAGGGGGGAAAAAGAGAAGAAAAAGTTTCTTCAATCTATATGTTAGTTTCCATAAGTAATATGTAGACAGTAAAGCACAAGACCACCAATAAGGATACATGTGAAACTTGGGGGTTCAGGAACAAAGCATAAATTCATGGAGAAGTGTAGGTAATATACTGAAAATATGGAGCACGAAATACCATTCTTAGAAAGCAATCTGGCCGATTCTTTCCAGAATGTGTTCCTGGGAACATTGAGCGAGCTCTAACAAACTGCTCCTCAACAAAATTAAGATCTGCAACTGTGTGAAAAAGTACATTAACATAATAACTAATGCAAAAGGTTAGCCCTTAAACAAAGGTGAAAGGGACATAAATTATGCACTAAGCTCTAAATATTTGAAGCATTAAAATAGAGAATGAGATGATGTGAAAATACATGCAGACTATAGCATAAGATGCAAAGTCTGATGGTTTTTCAATTTGGTAAAAATTGGTATAAGTAAGAAAATTAGTATCCTCATGAATCAAATTCAGGTCCAATAGTGTATTTGGCAATGATGTCCATAATAGGATAAATCAACTCCTTATTTTAGGCCTCATTGGTTCTTTCATTTGAGAAGGCTAATGCTCTTTTTTCATTTTCTTTTTCTTTTTTCTGCTGATGACCTATGAGGAAATTTGTATATATCATTAGGAACTAGCAAAAGTTTCGCACAACCACAATTGGAAATAGTTAATTGAAGTCATGTTCAAATAAAAGATTTAAAGCAAAAGCAACCAATCTTCTTATTTGTACTATTTTTTCTTGTATAAAAGTTTATGCAAGTACTAATAATAGGATTAAGATCTCATGCTGTGAAACTTTGGTTCGAGAAGTTTACACAGTAATTTGGTCAGAAGGCATGACCATTCACTAAAAGAATAAGGCCTTCATTCCATATTAAGAGTGCAATTGATTATATAAGGAGCATAGTTACCTGAAGACATTGAGAATTGTTGATTCCCACCATCAGTATCATAAGCATCATGATATGTAATCTTTATTTTAGGTTGATCCAGCAATTCTATATTTAATGTCTCATATTCAGGACCATTTGGGAATAGCATAGGATTATTTTGGTGCAACACATTCCACAAAGAGGACATCCAAGGATCTAGAGCACCTTCATACCTACAATCAAAATTAGCTAGGCATTAGATGATTAGACCCTTTTTGTGCAACTAATTTTTGGGGAAGGAAAAGAAGATAATTACTCAATACCAAAAAGTACACAAAGAAAAAGAAAAGGAAAATACAGGAAAAAAAAAATACAAAAATTGATATGGTTACATACAAGTGACCAAAGTATATCAGTATCAAAGAAATTCCACATTTCATTCAAGAAAAACTGCAAATAGTTTAGTTGAAACATCAAAAAAAAAAAATTAGAGGAAACAAACCATAAACATACCCTGAAGGGTGCTGATCATCTCCTAAGCCTCTTTCAATAACCGGAGTGGCACCAAGATCTAAGAGCCTCTTATCAAGTTTCTTTGCAACAAACTGCATCAAAGAATATAGAGGAATAATGCATCTGCATTTGAAAATATGAATGCATAATTACAGGTTCCTTATATCAAACTACCACAGTTTTGAATAGTTTTGCCACTGGAAAATTGAATGTTAAAAGAAACTGTTACAGGTTCCTTATTACTCAGATTTAATATTAAAGCACTTGTGCATCAGAAAATATTATTAGAACTATGGAGATCATTACACTATATTTCTTGCAAACGTGAAGAAATTATTTTTCTTGCAAAGTGACCATAGTCTAATTAGAGAGAAATAAGTACCATAATATTAGAACTGTAGAGATCATTACATTATATTTCTGATAGCTAGAATCACCCAGTCCGAACACCGCATAATTAACTCCTTCAAGCCAAATTTGGCTAAGATTGCGTTGCAACAAAAACCTCCAAAAGACCTGAAATAAAAGAACAAAAAGTACAACTTCACTCGATATAACGTGCTGAAAATAATGAAAAAACCAAAAAAAATATTTTAAAAAATTGTATTCTCTTGCAAAACAGTGCAATATACTTAAAATTAAAGGAACATATTTGACCTTCATGGAGTCCGGAGTGTCTCCTTGACCAGTAGTTGAAACCACAAAAACAACAATCTCCTCATTAGGCAGAGAAATCTGAAAAGTTTTGCGCATAATTTTAAAAGGAAAATTATAATCCAACAATTATACTCCATTACTCCATAATAATAATATATACAGGTGAACAAAGCAAAAGAGAACCAAAAAAGCGAGGAAAAGATGAGTTCTTACTGGATCAAACTCGTCAACTGATAATACGGCTGCAGGACAGCCGCGACGCTCAGCTTCGCGGCCCAACCGTTCGGCGGCGTCGATTGCATTACCGGTCTGCGATGCATATAGTATCAGTAGTAACTTCCTTTTTGCCTTCTCCTCCATCTATCATCTATCATCTTCCTATATATTAAAGCCATAAGATTTCAGCCAATGAAATGGCTTCATTTTCCCGCCCAATAAAAGTGACGTCGTTTGGCTATTAGAAGATTGCGGTCAAATACTTTTAATTAACTTTATATTTTCAGTAATTGTATTTGTATTAATCTTAAATACTTAAGTCATGCTCAGCCACCTTTTAGATTTCCCAAATTTGTGGGGAGTTGTTCCAAGTTGAAGGCCACCGTTTGCATTAAATGATTTTATACATACAATATTGCGAATACATATCATATCAATAGAGATGAATTCAAAACACTTTGCAGCTTTTCTATTTTGGCGTTTCATTTTCCGGTGCAAACCCATAATTGCTCTTCAGTAATTGTTGAGTTTTCTTGGAATTCTAAATCCTCCAAATCTGATTTGAACTCTTCAGCTTAACTCTGTTCTATAAATAATGGCTACTAACCAGCAATTTTGCGAATTAAGGTCTGCGTGTTTGTTCTTTCTTTGCCATCTACTCCTCCTGAAAATGGCTCCGCTCTACATTTTAGGAAAACAGTCAAAGACCTCAGTCCAGGTAATTTTAAACCTATTTTAATCCTTCTATTTCATTCCTTCTAAATACAAATATGATTTTAAACCAAAAACCAGATTATGATTTACTTTTATAACAATATTTCAGATCTAATACTTTTTTGTTTTCAGATTGAAGGTTGAATATACCCCAGTTAGAATCATCAACTGTGTGTCAATGATGTCCTATGGCAACAGTACATACAATTTCAAGTCTCCTATGGTAATAAGCACTATAAAAGATCTATATGACAAAGCTGAGGTATGAATAATACATACTGCAATTGAAATATTTTTATTTCTTAGATGCTTATCTATATATTTTTCTAATTTATCTGCATGCTTTGGTTTTAAAAAGCTATTTTATATAATACTTCCTACCAATAACCCAAGTAGTTAAGTACCAAGTGTATTTAGTACTAACAGAATAGAAATAGCATACTTTTCAAAAACATAGTACTCTTAATACTTAATAAAATACTTGAACCAAGTATTATTTTAGCATTTTCTGAAGTACTAAATAGTATACATATCAACTAAAGCAGTAGGCTTAAAAATCACATTTGCACATGTGTTAGATGTAATGATTAAAATTAGTTGAAAAAATAATTAAAAGTTACCTTGGTCCAACTGCATCCAACAATATTAGCATGTCTTTCAAATTGTTTGATGGTAGGTTGAATAGCTCTAAAAATTTCTCTGGATCAAAGAACTTTTTTATTTTCAAAAGCACTACATTGCAACAACCAAAGGGTGCAATAAAAAGCTTGTCTCTAAGGGTGGCCTATAGTAATGTGATAAGTGTAGCAGAAATTGGGCTGAAGTTATTTTGAGATATCGTTTGAAAGTGAGTGTGGTCGATGTTAATGGGGATGCCCCCATTCTTCCTTTGGGAAATGGAATGTGTTGATCTAATTGGTATTACAACAGCAGAATTGAAAGCATTATATCCAAGGGTAAATATCATTTCACCATCTACATTTAATAATCTTTGAATCTTAATACTATGAGTGAACTAATGCAGACTATGAACTTGACTTAGGGAAATGGGAAGATACCTATGCAGTTAAAGACCTTGGTTTGGTCTATCATTGGTATTTAAAATTGCTGCTAGAAAGGAACAATTTGACAATCTACTTAATGCATTTCCTGTGATAAAAATTGAGAAAGACAGTGCATGATAAACATGACACTGATGATGTAAGGTTCCTAAATAAATATAATTCTAATCTATAATTAATTGTTATTTTCTTAAATGGAAGCCAGTGAAGTCGGTGAATGGAAGCCAGTGAATATAATTCTAATCTATAATTAATTGTTATTCTAATCTGATGATGTAACTGCTTTGAAGCCAGTGAAGGAATTGAGTGGTGATGTAAGTGGTTCACTGAAAAGAAATCTTCTGGATGAATTATCATCCACTAAAACCTCAAATAAGAATAAGCAAGTGAATGTGAAGCTGGAAAAAGTGACATTGACCTAGACTAGCTTGGTTTCTGACAAAATCATTTTGTACTGGTGGGCTGTGAAACAATATTCAGTTCTGTATTTTGCCCCATTTGACCTCTAAAACATGATTTTAGACTGTGGTTTTTGGCCCAAGTGCCAATGATGTCTAAGTTAGAACTATTGGTTTCTATGTGATAGATATTAGCTATCTTGCAGTTGTCTTAAGTTATTTTCAGGCGCATATTCAAGAAAGATAGTGATGCAATGGAATAAAGAAAGATTCAGCGAACATGCTGGAAAGACAAAATGTTTACAGATAGGAAATCTGACTATTATTTATATGCAATGTGTAACTGAGATTTTTTTTTTTGTTTTGTTTTTGTATCAAAGCCATGAATCATAGATTTAAAACCTCAATTATGTACATTGTTTTCATGAAACTACAAACTGGTCTAAGGTAGTAAAGCAACAAAATTGAAGGTAGGCACTTACAGAACCAAAAAAAACACTAAATCTTAGCTTTAATTTCTCTACCTTCTGCTCAAGTGCCATTTACAGAACCAAATCACAGAAGAAAACAAACACTATACCTATCAAAACTACTTAGTACTAACAATCCAGATATAGCATCTTAAGGGTACTTACTTGAGTTTTCTAAAATTACTTATGCACATGTTTTTAGAATAGCATATTAAGGCTACTTACTAAATATCATGCTTATCAAATACAACAAGAAGGCTAAAAACTACTTATGCACATTTGGAGAAAAAAATTGATCAAAAGATGTTTTAAAAATAAAAGAAAAAATTTACCTTTGAAAGCTATGTGTTCATAGTTCATATACCTTTACAAACCAGTTTGATCAACTTCATACACCATTTAAGCTATCTCTGCCTTCTCAACCACTTTAAAATTGGTTGATTGAATGTTTAAAAGCTGAAGTTTAATTCCGTAAAAGAAAATTTAAGTAACCAAAGTTAACTGGAATTCTATTATGTATTTATAAAACTCAAATTTCAATAATTATGTGTGCAGACATGTTAAAAATAAAAAATAATAATAATAAAAAATTAAAAAAAAATAAAAAAACTCGATGTAAAAATGAACTTGTAGCAAACAAGTTGCACATTATTCTATTCTATACTTTCTAGCATACATAGAAAAAATAATTAAGAATTGAGATAGAAACAAAAAATATTTTAAAGCAATCAGACAACCTAAAATTTTTAAAATACCATACTAAAGACCATACTTAGTAACTAAAGTATAACAATAAAGATTACTACACTCTATAACTATAACAGTTGTCAAAAAAAACATGAAGATAATTACAAGTCTAATGCCTAAGTGTATAAAAATCTTATGGCCTAGATCAGAGTAACTATTACTTTACAAAATGGTAATTAAATAGTTACAATCATTGAGGTATTTAAATCTATGATTAACAATTTAAACAACAATCTGGACATTAAAGCATAGAACAAACAAAAATTTCAAATTAGGACTGAACCAAGTTCTCCAAATTAGAAAATTGGTAAAATTAGATTTATAATATGTAAAATAATATAAATATTACCTGATAAAGTAGGATGTTTTACGAGCTGCTGTCCAAGAGCTTCTTTGTCGGTGGCGCCATTTCACCACAAAGGATTCGATTAAGGTTTCTACTGGATATAAGAGCTAGAAGTGATGTAATTAGAATCATACTGGTACAATTTTTCGTCGTGCATAGCTTGGATTTAGTTTTGTTGCGCAAGGGTTGGCTTGGTTTCTATTTGTGTTGACGGAGGAAGGTTTCGGGCAGAGACGCGAGGAAGTCGACAGGAAAGGGTGTTTGGTTTCTAGGGTTGGGGTTGGTTTTTGTTCAGATATTAAATGGGTCGGGTATGGGCTTAGGTTTTGGGTTTCTTTTATGGGCTATATATATATATATACACAAAGTATTTTACTTTTAAAGAGCTTTGAGATAGTCCACATACTATGGACAATCAAACTCACTAATGTATTTTTTCAGAGTAAATATTTATGATCATAATAATTTTATAATTTTATTATAGCTAATCAACATAATTATTAAATAACCAAAATTTATAAAATAATAAATTTCATATTCCCTTTGTATATATAAAATTTAATAACACTATTAATTTTTAATAACATATAAAATTTTAACGAATAATTACTTCAAATTCGTACATACTAAGTTTTATTGAAAAATAAACTTAACTAAAGGATTTACAATTTCAACTCCGTGTATCGCACGAGTGACTTATCTTTCGTACGGCTTTAATATGTGTTCAATATTACATGTCTTATAATTGCAACATAACAACATAGTCGTGCATCACACCAATACAGTACTAGATTGATGGAACAATTAACAATAGGAGTGCACCACCAATTTTTAGACTACATGGTCAAATTTTCCACTAAATGGGGAGTTTGTTACCAGAATCTGACGATAAACCAAAGTTTGCTCAATTATATATTTATGACACTGAGAATGAGATCAACAATTGACTAAGTGCGTTGGGGTTAGTATGGTCATTCAAAATAACTTAAAATGAGAATGATTCATTAGTAATCTAAATTATTCTAATTACCTAATTATATTTCGTCTATTTATTATATGTTCAACATTTTATTTACTATACGTTCAACCTATACAAGTTTTATAGCTTGCACCATAATAATATTGTTGTGCATTGCATGGGTGACATAAGGAAGTTAGATAGATAGTTGAATAAGACGGTTACGGAGAAGAATTTAAGATTGTGAAGTATTACTAATGAAGAGGAGGTTGAGAAGTTAATTAGATAGTTTTTCCAAGTGGATTGCAGATTTAGGTTATGGAAAACTTAGTGAATACAATGGTGTTGATTGCAATATAATTATACCGTCTTCCTTTGTATTGGAAAATGAGGGCGATCCCATTAGACAAATTGTTGACAGTACATTTCCTAAATACCGTACTGGAAACATGGATGCAAGACAACTCGTGAGTAGAGCTATTTTGGCTCCAAACATTAGATGTTTTCTTTAAATTCTATGAGGTTAGGAATTTAGAAAGAGAAAATTACACTTTTGGTCCTGTGACTATTGTGGTCTTATTAATTTCAGTACTCGACTTTAAAAACTAACAATTTAGTCCCGTAACTATGCAATTTTTAACACATTTGGTCCTGCCGGCCAAATCACCGGCCAAATGTTACCGGAAAAACGTAAATATTTTAAAATTATTTATTCATGGGGGTAAAACAGTCATTTCAAACCACTTTCTTCTTCTTCCTTGTCCCTTCTGGCCGGAATCGGAGGAATTGATACGATTTTTTATTTTCGCCGTCAAAATGTTGCCGTCCTTCTCTCCTTCTTTTTGGTTTTCTATCTTCACCATATATATAAGTAGTAAAAAAAAATTAATTTTTAAAATTTTAAATGGTTGTTACAATTTTTGAACCACACATGAATTTCTGCTTTTGACCATTTTCAATGGCAACCAGAGACAGAGTTTTCTCACGCGCATGCACAACACAGAGACACAGAGATCCGAAAGCAATACCAATTCGATCAGAGGAGCAAACCGGTCAGAGGAAATCGGAAAACGATCTTATTTGCGACAAGCTAAGAACAGATTCAAACTCAGATTTGTGGTTCAAAGATTTATGGCCTGAGAGTCTGGGAGAGTGTGTATATAGGATTGGCCTCCTCTTTCCAAGGATTTAGTCAAATGCCATGGAAGATTAGCTTGTACAGTGTGTATATAGGATTATCTCGCACCACTGACGGCCCTATACAGCATCGTCGCAAATTGTTGGACCATTGCAATGTTGTTCTCCGTCCGACGACGATTGACTTCCCCAGAATGGTTATCTGATGATTTCCCTTTTTTTTTTTAAATGTAAAATGACCGTTTTGCCCCATGACTAAACAATTTTAAGACATTTATGTTTTTCCGGTAACATTTGGCCGGTGATTTGGCCGGAAGGACCAAATGTGTTAAAAATTACATAGTTATAGGACTAAATTGTTAGTTTTTAAAGTCGAGTACTGAAATTAACAAGACCACAATAGTCACAGGACCAAAAGTGTAATTTTCTCATTTAGAAATTTTATTTTTACAAGCTTGGTTAGGAATTTAGAATTTAGAATTTAGAAGCTTTACTATGAGGTTAGGAATTTAGAATTTAGAATTTAGAAGGTTTTTTTTTTTTTGATTTTTTTTTAACAAGCTCTACTCAATCTTAAATTGTATATTGGTCTAATTACTTATGTTTTGTGGACTATAGTTTTAAATTTACTAAAGATGCATTATTGGTCTAATTACTTATGTTCTGTGGACTATAGTTTTAAATTTACTAAAAATGCATTATTTTTAGTAAAATTATTATTTTTTACTTACAAATTTAAGTTGTATATTGATCTAATTACTTATATTTTGTGGACTATATTTTTAAATTTACTAAAAATGCATTATTTTATAATATAAATAAATACCATAATAAACTTTTATTATAGCAATAATGTAAATTCAGTATATTAATAGTGTATACTTTATTAATGGTTCACAAATATATGTATCTTTAGTTAATGTAATAATGATTAACTTCTGTAAGATCATGCTAAATTATCATTTCTTAATAATTTTAGTTATATATGTTTTGACCAGGACTATTTGGTCTAATGGTACCCGGGTTGGACTTCTATTTGGAAGATTATGAGTTCGAGCCTTAGTGGAGGCACAGATACTACAATGTAATAGAGCCAGTAACTTTCAAAAAAAAAAAGTTAGTAAAATCATCCTTCTACCATTTTTTCGCATAAACGAGTAAATGTCATATTGAAATTAATTTACAAAGAAATATTTAATAATGTATAATTGTTTTGTTTATGGAACCTGATAAATTATATTTTGTCTATTTATTGCATCTAAAACCTTATTGGTCCTATATCTTCAATATAACAATCTTTATATATTGCATCATAATATCATGGCCGTGCAACGCACGGGGACAAATCTTCTTATATATAATAAAGCCCATAGATTTGGCCAATCAAATTGCTCCCCAAATCCCGCCCAAACTGTTTTGGAGAAATTTTGGCTTTTATTTATTTTTTGTTATTTATGGAAGGATATCTAGGTTTTTTAAATATTTTTTGGGTTTTGAATTTTTCTGATTTGTTTGTTTTTTGATTGGTTCTTTTTTATACAACTCTGATTTTTGTAATCATGAAACGTGTGTGTTTAGGCTGTTGATTTCCAATGTGATCTTTTGTGTATCTATAGACTAATTCTAATAATTTTGTATTGGTTTCGAAGAGCCCTTCTACTCCTTGCCGGCGCATGCCTAACTTTTAATCATGGGTTTTACATCTCTAATACAACTCTTTAACAGTATAAATAGGTAGGTTGTGTTAATGTTTTCTTCCACTTCCGATCATCTACTTCTCTGTAAACCACTCCAAAAGCTTCTTAGCGTTAACCATGCCTGGCTAGTTTATTCTTTGCTCTGAAATCCATCATCAGCAGACTTCTAAGGCAATGCGTTTGCGTCTTGTGCGTACCTATTTGGTATTTGAAGGAACTGAGAAAGTCATTAGAAGTCGTGAATGTGTGTTTCATGATTCGGCAGTAAGTAAATTTTGTTTTTTTTTGTTTCCTTTTGTTCAAAGCAATAATATTTTTAGTAGTTGCTATTAGTTTCTAATGTTCTTCCCTTTCTTTTGCTTCTGTAAATCTAAGGGGAGTTTCATACATGTTCAAAATACCTAAGGATCAAGTTCAAAAGTACAGCTCTTACTTTCAAGAGGGCAGTGTCTATGGGATTAGGAACTTCTTATGCATCACCAACTACTTCAAATATAAAACAAGTGATCACAAGTATATGATCAAGTTTAAGTTTGATACTGCTGTTAAGCAGTATAGGCGTATTGATTTCCCAGATTGTATGTTTCGTATTAAAAGTTTAAGGGCTGTTTTGGAGAAGGATGGTGTGAATGAGAATGAACTGTTTGGTAAGTTTTTTCTCCTTATCTCTTTCCCTATTTACAATACCTATATTTCTGTGTTATAATGGTTCTATGTTTGTTTTTTTTTATATGTAATTGGAAGGGTTGTGGAGATATATTCTCCGGTAGATAAGGTTATTGGGGGAAAATCTACAAGGTTGATAGATTTTGTCATTGAAGATGCTGAGTAAGTTCTTCTAGCACACTCTATCTTTTTCCACTTTTATCTTATTTTTTAATTTTTACTCAGTTTACTTTTCCCCCTTTTTTCCAGAAAAAAACAACTGCAGTGCACAGTGTGGGGTGGACATGTGGAGCTTCTTATGCCTTACTTTAATCTGGAGTTCAGTGATCCTGTTGTTGTTTTGGTGCAACTATGTCGTGCTAGGTTCCTTCAAAGTGAATGTGTGTCTTCCTATACTTCTATATTTTCTCTATTAGGGTACTTACATTTTATGTTTATAATTAGATGGAGAGGTCAGGATATCTAGCTCTTTTGATGCAACGCAGTTGATTTTTGACCATTCATCAAAAGTGTTTGCTGATTTCAGAAAGAGGTATTCCTATTTAATTTGTAATCTCTTATACATTTTTTTTTTTTGTGTTGCACCTATGTTCTTTATTCTTTATTTTTTTTAATCTTTTTTTGGGCAGTGTTGGCAGTGACTACACACCCCTTAGGTGTAAACCATCTGATTCTAGGTTTGGCCTTAGGTTGAATGTGCCTATGGTTGATAATGATACTGTGGTTACTCCTATTGCTGAATTATACCAGAATCAACAGGTATTATGCTACTTTTTCTGCACTTTAACTCTCAATTTC